CTATCTATCTATCTATCTATCTATCTATCTATCTATCTATCTATCTATCTATCTATCTATCTACTACTATCTATCTATCTATCTATCTATCTATCTATCTATCTATCTATCTATCTATCCATCTATCTATCTATCTATCTATCTATCTATCTATCTATCTATTTATTTATTTATCTATCTATCTATCTATCTATCTATCTATCTATCTATCTATCTATCTATCTATCTATCTATCTATCTATCTATCTATCTATCTATCTATTTATTTATCTATCTATCTATCTATCTATCTATCTATCTATCTATCTATCTATCTATCTATCTATCTATCTATCTATCTATCTATCTATCTATCCATCTATCTATCTATCTATCTATCTATCTCTCTATCTATCTATCTATCTATCTATCTATCTATCTATCTATCTATCTATCTATCTATCTATCATATCTAATCTATCTATCTATCTATTTATTTATTTATTATATCTATCTATCTATCTATCTATCTATCTATCTATCTATCTATCTATCTATCTATCTATCCATCTATCTATCTATCTATCTATCTATCTATCTATCTATCTATCTATCTATCTATCTATCTATCTATCTATCTTCTATCTATCTATCTATCTATCTATCTATCTATCTATCTATCTATCTATCTATCTATCTATCTATCTATCTATCTATCTATCTATCTATCTATCTATCTATCTATCTATCTATCTATCTATCCATCTATCTATCTATCTATCTATCTATCTATCTATCTATCTATCTATCTATCTATCTATCTATCTATCTATCTATATCACTTTAAAACTCGTTAAAAGTATAGATCAAACTGTTAAGTTCTATTAAAAATTAAAATATTCAAAAAATTACCTAAATTCTTTCCCTTAGTGTATTTTTCTTACACAAAAAATCGCTTCTATTCCAATTGCTACCCTCAAGTTGTCATCACTTTTCTAACTGTCACCGTAGAAACGGAAGCTGAAAACCAAAACAAAACTGTAAATTTTGCAGTTATAAAGTAAAATTAATAATAATTATACACAAAATAAACAAAATTAAAATGGAAATAACACTGGCCATTATTAAACCTCATGTAGTGCGTAATACCGTAGCCTTCCAGGCTTTAAAACGTTTAATAAAAGAACATTTTAAAATACTAGACTCCAAAGAAGTGCACATTACGAAACAACTATCGGAAAAGTTTTATGAAGAGCACAAGGGTAAATTCTTCTATAATCGTTTAATAACCTTTATGGGAAGGTAGGAAATGCTATAATTAACTTTATAAGATAATTTTCTAAGAGAATGCCTCTTTCCAGTGGTCCCAGTTATGCTTTAATATTACAATCACAAGACAGCATTTCCAAGTGGAGAGGTTTGATGGGCCCTACCAAAGTCTATAAGGCTGTGTATTCAAATCCAGACTGTATAAGAGCCATTTATGGTCTTTCGGATACGCGCAATGCTTGCCATGGTTCGGATAGTGTGGAATCAGCTTTAAGGGAAATATCTATATTATTTCCAGATTTCAATAAAGATGTCTTAACATCAGAGAACAGCTGATGGGTGTAAAAGAAAACATCTGGGTGTTTATTTTTTGCTTCAGCTGTGGGTGTTGTCTTTGTGGCGTTGAAAAATCGCTAGTTTTTTGCAAACTATGAAAAAGTAACGGTTTTGTGCAGAGTATTTTATTTAAAAAAAAATTAAAATTTAATATTCTCTTGGAAAGTTGGAAACGTTAAAATGTACTTTGGAGAGTGGAGGTATAGATTTCATTGCATATTGAAACTTTGTATATGAGGTTTAGAAAGGTCGCGGAATAATATTCTTATAGTCCTATCAAAGTTACGAATGTGGGTCATTTCTTCGGTTAGACTTCTGAAGCTTTCGTATAGTTATTCGAATCGTCATTGAATTAAAAGATGACTAATTGTCATTTATAACTACTGAGAAAAGGCAAATGGTGAATGAAAAAATTCCTATAAAAGACTTCCATCCTTCTTGGATAGTGAGATACCGATTGGTATTCATCACTGTTACCGTACTTTTAATAGAAAGCATTCTTGGGGATCTATCTATCTATCTATTTGTGCATTAATAAAATTTAGATACTTCTTGTATATGTTTTACATCTAGAAATCGACTTTTCCTCCATTTATTTAAACACGATTCCACATACCTCCGCTTCGTTTTTACTCCTAATAAAAACATTTATTTACTTTTTTTAATGTATATATAAGTAATGTATTATGTATAAGGCAGAAGTAAAAAATAACAATAAGTAAAATATATGTATATTTATATGTATCTTAACTATAATTTGATGTGCACCTTTGTTTTGAAAATAATAATTATAATGTAATAATAATAATAATATAACTTCAATATATTTTGAAGAAGTATTCCACACATTCTTATTCTATTCGACGTTCAAGTTAAATCAGACGTAAAAGTTTTTTATTAACAGTTGTCATCTTTCCATTTCTCCTTTGCTTCGAGTTTTGCTTCAGGTACCAAAGAACTCTTAACACCGCCCAATATATTAGTGGTGGCTTGGGTAGCCAAGACTGCGGGACATACCACCAGTTGGGGAACTTGACGCATAACGGCTCCAACAGCTCCTGTCAAACCTTTCTGATCATGTTCGGCTGCTGCTGTTTCAATGAGATTATTGGCTGAATCATTGATGCCTTCTTTGAGTATTTGATAGGCATTGGCCACGCCCTCACGTATATCTTTGGGGCGATTGTGACGTTTTTTGCGGCCTCGTTTGCTTTTCTTGGATTGACGGACTGAGGGCCCGGAGGAAACCATATCGAATGCGGTTTCTGCGGTGAATTGTAAAAGTTGTATAAGTCTAGAAGTGATTTCTAGAGCCGCCAAAATCGTGCGTGCACTAAAACTTTGGGCGCCCAATTGTAGGCCTCTTATCAAACGGCCATCTTTTTGATAGTGTTCTATGGGTAACCAAAACAAGTCGTAGATACCTTGGAACAGCTGTACGAAAGCATACGTAGGACCCACTCCCGATAAGATCTTCGGCAATTGATTACGTTTTATATCCCTTAACCATTCTTTGCATAGATAATTACACACCTTTTCAAAGCCCAGTAGCCCACGTCTATACACTATTTTACGTAAAATAATTTCGGAACATTGTAGTTGACCCAGACCCATTAACAGGCCAGCTATAGGTCCCTTGGAAAGCTCAACTCTTCGGCCATGATAATCGAAACGTATGGATACATCTGGGGTGAAAATGACTTCTCGGAAATATATGGGAGCATTATTCACTTCCGGCGAGGCTGACATCACACTATTGTCCGATTTAATGGAACGGCTGTCGGCACATTCTTGTTCATCGATTAATAGAGAAATGTTTTCATTAACAATACGACGAGCTCTTAGATCATTTACAGCATCGGGAATTTCTTGTTCATCTTCACTGATTGTCATAATGGGAACTTCTGGTTTAGCTACGGCAAGTTTAGTCGGTTTGCCTTCATCTGTTGGCTTGTCAGCAGAGTTGTCCTTGTCACAGGCTTTACCGAAATTAGTGAAAAAGTCTGTTAAAAATTCCAGAGTATCTTGATCGATGTGAACACGCAACGGACAGAGCGAGATGCGCAACGAACATTCTTGATTATTACTTTGCTGGGGATTGGGTCGTACGTGGATAGCTTTAACCAATACCATGTGTTGATTCCTACGATTGCTAAAACTTTTCGTATTGGCATTGTAGAGAAACTTGTTGATTTCGGAACTCTGCAAACGATCACGTATTTCGATTTCATTGACCATCAGCACTTGCCTAGAGGCATACATAGTGTGGCGGGGATATACTTCATAGGAAAATCTCACTTTAGTAAATTGCATTTCCACCAAGACTTCATGATTACGTGTGCTGCCTCCCACCGATTTCCAGGTGAGTTTTTCTTTAGGTTTCTTCACCTGTGGCAGGCGAGACGATTCGTTGGCATAGAACACACCCTGGCGATAGGTATCTGACATGGCAGTTTTATTTGCACTTGTTTCTCCTCCTGTGGCTGCTGATGCTGTTGTAGCGGGTGTTTTTCCTCCAACAGAAGAGGGAGAGGTGGAAAAATCATGACCACCATACAAATGCCAAGTAAACGTCATTTCGCAGAGAGTATAACGTTGTTCGGGCATGGGAAAATTTGTGGGAGTTCGCAGTAGATCATTACTGGAAGACGAGGGTAGACAGAAATGATTATCAACAATCATTAAAGGATCATCGGATACCTCAACAGAACCGCTAGCTAATTTAGTATTCACAAAAGCATGTTCTTCCTCGGCTATTATACAGTAGTCTTCCTCATTGGAGGAGCCATTGTGGAGTTCCTCGAACAAGGCGTTATCCTCCTCTGTTATCTCGCCAAATTCCGCTCTTATAATAGGTAAAGTTTCCAGGGTATCTTTACTGCTGCTGGCAGTATTTAATGTAGATTTTTCCATTGTTTCTGTGGTGACATTTGCCTCCTGTTTAATCAGATGTTTATTGTTTTCATCAGGGAAATAAAACAATTTAAGTTCATCTTTTCCTCTTATTGGTTCTTCTTCCTCTATGGTCTCTAAAGTACAGCTTTCTTCCGGCGACTCTTGCACCGCTTCAGCCATTAGTATATTAACACGTTCTTGCTGTTTTTTGGTAATCTCTTTCGTCAGCTGCTGCTCGGTTTGTGATAAAAAGAAATCTGACTCCGAACTTAAAGAAGACTGCAAAGATTGCTCTTTAAGATTTGTTTGTTCATTAGAGGGATTCGTATTATTGGCCATATAGCCAATGAGTTGAGCAAAGGCACTGCCCGAATCATAACAAGTGCGAAAATGTACATCGTGAATGGAACATCTCAAATCAAAAGTAGGACATTTATCAGAATCATCATCATTTAAACGCAATGAAATATCCAGCAAACCCACATCCAAAACCGGCACAAGATTTTTGGCATCTATAAATGACACCTTATAACAGGGATATTTCTTGTGTAATGATTCCTCATAGGGCGCCAATGACAAAACACATTCTTCCAATACAAAACGTAAATTACAGCAGGGCATGGAGGGTATTATGTTGCTGCAGACGGAGAAATAAAACAACTCCAAAACGGCACGATAAGAGAAATTCTCGGGACGAAAATCTATGGCACAATCCCACAAGTGTAGCTGCATTTCCGACAAAACACTGAACGCTTTATAGCCCTCTATGGGATAGTCTACCACATCTAGAAAATCGATTAATTGGTTTAGCCAATACAAAGATGGGCTGGCAGGATTATAACGCAAAGTAGCGTAATGTATGCCGGCCGTTATCTTAAGCCTTTTGATTCTTTGTTGAGGATTCTTTTTCATTTCTATGACTATGGCAAACATGTCATTGTCTTGCTCTGGTACGACTATACCTTTAGTTAAGCCCTGGGGTATTTTGTAAAGAGTAGACTGCATAAAATCTTCAACTTGAGCCTGATGATCAAATCTCAAGGGGGTATTCATGGGCACTATGCCGCAATGATAGATTTCACCGCTATTTATTTGTGTGCACAAATAGGAAAGATTTATATCGCTTTTAAAACCAGCCACCAAGAATATTTTTACTTTTTCCACATTAAGCAGGAATTTGCCGCATACTTGAGGCAGAACATGTTTATCATTATCACGCACTGGCACAAAACAGGAACCAGAAACTTTGCCCAGTAATATTTCCACCGAACAATTGTGTTGTGACATTTTGGCCATAAATGTTTGGGGCGGCTGCTGTTGTATGCCCGAAATACCATCATCGTCCTCATCTATTTCCAAATCTTCTTCCTGCTCTTGGTTATCATCACTTTGATCGCTTTGCTCAAAAACTAAGGGAGGCTTACTGCTGCTAAGACTTTGAGTTGCTGTTGCATAAGACTCATCATTTTGTGCTATGGCTGAGATATAAACGGAATCCATTAAACCCATATTTAAAAGACTTTGACCCATTTGTTGTTGCGAGTCCATAGCTGAAGATTTTGTTATGTAAGGACAGGAAGGCTCCCACATAAAAGATCAGCATTAAGTCGATTGTAAATAACCTCATATAGTTGCTTGGATTCTATTATAAAATCAACATGAGGAAAATTTAATTTCACTTGTATTTCCGAATTGGCCATGGTAGTTTCACAGAATTCATCAATTTCGTGTTTTTCTCCCGGCAGCAAAATGTTTTCCGTTAAATCATTTTCCATTTTGTTGTTATAAGCCGATGTGCTGCTTTGCCGACAATGTCTTTTCGAACTAAAGGGGAGTTTAGTTTCGCTATTGGTTTCTAACGAAGCAAAGTTTCTTTCAGCAAAGTCTACAAAAATACTAGGATAATTTTCCATTAGTGGCTTGTTTATTTGTTTATCATAAGTAGCGGTTAGTAAATGATTTTGTAGGTCATCCGTTTCCGCATAGAATATTTCAATTTGTGAGCCATACAATTTTAATCTGCTTTCACATAGGATTACTTTTAATTCGGTAAAACGTAACAGAAGATAATCAGAACGTATATTTTGTTTCCACCAGGGTACACGTAGAGGATCATGTAAGGGTCTTAAGTCGACAATGGGAAAACGTAGTTTCAAATCTAGCAAAGCACAGTTGATGGTTAGTTCGGTTCTGTTACCAGCATTTAAATCTTCTTTTACGTTAGACTGTGCTACTTTAGAAGAGTAATTAACATAAGGTGAGGGAGCAAAGAATGAACCCAAACGATCTATTATTGTTATGTCAAACTCTAAGACATTCTCCTCTAGCATTATGTCTATATTTGTACGGCTATTCTTTTTCATTTTTATGCTATTGCTGGTGCTGAAATTCATGGTAAATTCTGGTCTTATTTGATAGCCATTGAAACAATTCTTATTGCGATTAAATTTCAGCAAGTGTGTCACCTGCTGCTCTAATACCTCACACAATTCTACTTTGGTGGCTGAAATGCTGGTGGTGATTTGTAAGATATTTTGATTGCGATTTTGTTTACCCTCTGCCACTATGGGATTTAATCTTAGGAATAAATGATTTTTACTACAATACAAACTGGGGCTGCTTAGTTCACGCTCCACCGGGATCTGGGCCGCATACGAGAAGAAACTTTGTGCAACTGTTAGCAGTTCCTTAAGACTACGTTCATTCCAGAAGTGTTGATGAGAATTTGAATTTGATTCCACTAGAATGTCTTCATGTAAAATCACACCCACCAATGCAGCCACCTTTATCACAAAATTGGAAATTTCTGCAGAGGTATCTATATTAGGGGCTTTTCGTTGATACCGTGAGACACTTGTTATAGTACTAGAACTCAATGAAGAAGATGCAACCGAATCACAATAATTTTCACAATTACGATATAAATTGCTAGAGGGTATGGTTTTCACATTGGGTGGTGGACTATTCCACATATTTAAATTGCCATGAGCCAAATTACTGTCGTATCTTTCCTGCTGCTCTCTTTGTAGTTCAAAATCTTCTGGGTTATACGTAGCGGTACGTGGTTTTCTATAAGATTCTTCCTCACTAAAGGCCTCAAGGAAATGTGTCAATAGTTGCAGTTGACGTGGTGAGAATATGGCGCATATAGCTCCCAGTTCCACATCGAAACATATCTTTGGCCCCGTTATTTCTTCCGATTGCTTTACTTTAATTTGCAAATTTTGCTGGCCCATAAATTGTAAAATAGGAATATCTTCATGTTGAACTTGACATTCACTTTCCGATACCCAATTTTCTTGTGTAAACATGGACACTCCCGTCAGTTTAACCGAGTGTTTGGCATAAGTGGGCAATCTATTCAAATGCTCAGTTTGTGTGTTTGAGCTGTCGGCACTAGACATTTGTGGCATTTTCTCATTGCCTGTTTCATTTTTATAAAATAGCTCATTTAAATGTAAAATTAAAGCTACTCCCCTTAGCCTATAATGGCAGGGATATTCAATTTTTAGGGTAATATTGGAAAATTTCGCTTGTATTCGGTTTAAAACATTATCTATGGTTTCGGCAAATTTCTCTAAGCCTGCTATGGTTCCTGTCGCAACACCTTTACTAGTACATTCTGACTCATCTTCTTCATCCTCCTCTTGACGCATACACTCTTCAGCCAATTGCAGGGAACTACTCACCGATGACCACATAGACTCTATCATAGATTCATGACCCTCATGGGCCCTTTTTACTGGCCTTAAACACAACACCACATCCGATGCCTCAATGGAACTGTCATTGGTCATTAAAGCATTCCACGGCACTGACACGGTCAGCAAACCAATTTGACCATCAGTAAATTCAAAGGGCCAGCCTTGTGCATCCAACAGTTCATTGAGAGCCTCTACACGCAGTGATACATTCTTTATTGTTGCCTTTCCATTATACAGCTCAATGTTGAGTTGTTCAAGATTTAGTTTTTCGTCTAGAAATTGTCCTAAATAACGTTGCAATAAATAGCGACATGTTTTATTCTTCAAACCGTCCCACACATTAAACCATGACATATTCCACTATTTATGTTTCTTTTTCTTAAATTTACTTTAATTTAAACAAAAAATTATGCGTTTTTATCAAATCTTTCTAACTTGTTTTCTATTATTATTGTTGTATTGTTTTTAATGCGTATATTTTTCAACAAAGAAATCGTCGTCAAAGATCTGCGCCGACAAACATTAACGTCAATAACGGCTAAGGCTGTTAATTTTGGCGGCGGCTTTAGATCGTCTGTAATCCGGCTATGTTTTCAAAAGTCATTTATTTAAATTATATAAAAATATAACGTTACTGTTTAACAGATTCACTTCGCAGAGTCTAAATGGTTGGAACAAAATTTCTAGAAAAATAATATTATACAAGCATGCTGGTGTGATATATGCTCCGAACATGAAAGCTTATGTTCGGAGCAAATTATTCATTCGAATGAATAATAGTACTTTTTTAAAAACATTCTTTATGAGCAGTTCACCAATCACATGCTGAAGTGATAATGTAGATTTTGGAAGGTGGTTGGTTATCTACGTAAATTAAAAGAAATTCAAAAATATTTTAATTTCAATTTGATAACCACGTTAAAATAAATAAAGCGATTTTTTACTACTATACAAAAGCAACTCTAAACAAAAACATAAACAGAAATGCCTCACATCTGGCAATATCTGATGCCATAATATACTTACTTGACAGCTGGAGAGCGTATTGATTTATTATCGTAAAAATTTCTAGCAATTTAAGTATTTCTTTGTAAAAATTCATATTTATTTGTTTAAAAATAACAAAGTTAATGGTAAATTTTATATAAAATTATTAAAATAATTAAGTATTTTCGATTTATTGAACAATTTTCTAATTTAAAGGCTTCAACTAGCTCTTCAAGCGTTTTGGAAGAACGACGCATTTGGGTAGGAAATTTGGATCCCAGGCTAAGCGAGTAAGTTGTTTAAAATAAGTCTTTTGTCTACTTTTTTATAAAATAAAAGCTAATTTGTAAACATTTTCTTAAATTCCTTTCAAAACTATGGGTTTCAACTTTTGAAAATTGTGCAAAAATGCGGTGCCATTGAAAAATTTGATATGCTGTTCCATAAAGGTGGCCCGCTACAGGGTCAATCGAGAGGTTATGCATTTGTAACTTTTGCACAGGTAAGAAATAAGGAAATTCTCAAAGTACACCCAAAATATGTTTTAACTTTTTTACTGATAACCTTAAGTGTTCGAGAGATTCGCCGTAAATTTTGACATAGAATTAATTAAACATTTCACTTTCAGGCTGAAGGCGCCATTAGAGCATTGGACAAACTTAATGGCCATATGGTATTAAATCGTCCCATAGCAGTGAGATTAGCAAAAAATGTAAATTATGTAAGTTTGCCAATAACTAACAATTTTGTACTTAATTAATGTTCAAATTCTTCTTTACAGGATGAACTAGAACGTCCTAAACCAAAAATAGAAATACCTGCTCTCGGCACTGGCAAGAAGGAAGGCAAAATTAGCAAAGAAGAAGCCATAAAAGCCATCGAACAAAAACTTAAACTCTTAGAAAGCCAAAAAGATGATTTAGAATTTAATCAATCCTTAGCCTGTGAAGTACCTCTCATACAAAAGTATCAATTCAATAAAGATCGAGATAGTAGTGGAGCTTGCACCACGTCACAACGAAGAACATATCATAAAAGCAGCTCGGGTCCCTATAATCGTCATCAAAGGCCCAAAAGAAGATAGAAATTAGTTTAATTTTCTTTTCGTTAGAAACAATCTGGACTTTAATTTAATTTTACTCTCACTTCATTTTTTACATCTTTAACAATGTTTTGTATGCCACAATTTCATCTTTAATTTCTACTAAAATAAACTTAATTTTTTTGTTTAAGTAATTAATAATTTATTAACAGTTTTTATTTGGGGGCAAATATAAATTTACCACGCATTCTTTCGGGCAAAGGTACTGTACCAGGACAGGGTACTTGACCAGGAATTTCACAAATACAATGGCGATTGCAGCCATAACCAAAGTTGGCGGGATTGTCTTTACTCTCGGCTAATCTGGCCTCAGCATCAAGTTGTTCTCTAAAAAAAAGGGAAAACAATATAATGTTTATGTTTTTAGTAAGTTTTCTATAAAATAGAAATTTTTCAAAAATTTCTATGAAAAGAGAGTTTTTCGAAAATTTTCTATAAAAAGAGAATTTTTCGAAAATGCTCTATAAAAAGAGAGCATTTCGAAAATGCTCTATAAAAAGAGAGCATTTCGAAAATGCTCTATAAAAAGAGAGCATTTCGAAAATGCTCTATAAAAAGAGAGCATTTCGAAAATGCTCTATAAAAAGAGAGCATTTCGAAAATACTCTATAAAAAGAGAGCATTTCGAAAATGCTCTATAAAAAAGAGAGCATTTCGAAAATGTTCTATAAAGAGAGAGCATTTCGAAAATATTCTATAAAGAGAGAGCATTTCGAAAATGATCTATAAAAATAGAGCATTTCGAAAATGTATGTACTATAAAAGAGAGTTTTACAAAAATGTTCTGTAAAAAGAGAATTTTTCGATAATGTTCTGTAAAAAAATAATTTTTCGAAAAATTTCTATAGATATATTTCTTCGAAATATTTTTTTGTATAAAGTGAATTTTCGAAAATTTTCTATAAAAAGAGAATTTTCTATAAAATAGAAATTTTTCAAAAATTTTCTATAAAAAGAGAATTTTTCGAAAATGCTCTATAAAAAAGAGAGCATTTCGAAAATGTTCTATAAAGAGAGAGCATTTCGAAAATGTTCTATAAAGAGAGAGCATTTCGAAAATGTATGTACTATAAAAAGAGAGTTTTACAAAAATGTTCTATAAAAAAAGAGAATTTTTCGAAAATGTTCTGTAAAAAAAGAATTTTTCGAAAAATTTCTATAGAAATATATTTTTTCGAAATATTTTTTGTATAAAGAGAATTTTCTAAAAGTTTCTATAAAAAGAGAATTTTTAAAAATTATCTATAAAAAGAGAATCTTCGAAAATTTTATATAAAAAGAGAATTTTCGAAAATTTTCTATAAAAGAGAGTTTTCAAAAATTTTTTATAAAAAGAGAATTTTTTCGAAAATTTTCTATAAAAAAATAATTTTACGAAAATTTTCTATAAAAAAAGAGTATATTTCATTCTATAAAAAAAGAGAAATTTTCAAAAATTTTCTATAACAGAATTTTTCAATTTTTCCAAAATTTTGTTTGAATAAATTATTAATTATAGAAATTATCAAAAAATTTCATGAAATAGAGAAAACTTTGAACATTTTTATCAAGGGATTGTCAGATAGTATCTCTCGGCTTCTACTTACTTTGTCTTGCCTACCACACGCATCAAGTGCTCCTCAATTTCATGTCTATTCTTGCTGTCCACATCGATTAACATATCACGACCATCCTCAAAATAACATCTAACAAAGGGAGAGGGTGTCATATTTTTAAAGGTAACAACCTGGACTTGAGGATTTTTGTATTGAACTTGAGGTATATTCCAGAAAACGAAATCTCTATTGAAATAAAATTGAATAACAAAATAAAAATAATAATTCATCAATGTTACGTATTCTCTTCTACAACTCACCTAGCACCATCATGATGTTCCCCATAGGTATTGTAATTGACACTGAATATTTTCACTTTATCTTTTAAAACCAATTTGCCGGCATTCAAATATTCTAGGGTACGACGTATGGGAGCTCTTCCTTTCATGAACGGCATTTTGTTTGGATTTTATTTAATGTTTTTATTGAAAAAATTAAGAAATACTTGTTAGAAATTGCCCGACCGGCTGGAAATTCATGTGAAATGCAGAGCCCTGCGCCGACAAATATAAACGGAGACGGCGGCTGACACTAAAAATATCGGCGTCGGCTTAAAATCGACTGTAAGCCGACCAAGTTCTCAAATACGCTTAATTTTAAAATTTTCAGATTTTGGAGCTAAGACAACTTATGGTCCGATCCGAACAAAAAATTCCGTATAATGATTTTTATATACAAAATACACATTAATTAATTTTCGGAAATGGTCCTTATATGGGAGTTGTGACCAATTGTCGACCGATAAGGAAAAAATTTCGTATAATGATTTATATGCCAAAAAAAAATTCAAGTCGAATTTTACTACAATAGATTTATTAATTAATGAAATATGTGGGTTTAGGTGATTTTTGGAAGTGGACTTTATATGTATGTATAGGAGCTACGACCTTACACAAAACATATTTGTGTCGAATTTTATCAAGATATCTTTATTTGATAATGAAATATGTGCTTTTAAGTGATTTTTTTGAAGTGGACCTTGTATAGGAGCTATTACCATATATGGACCAATCCGGAAAAAATTTTGTAGAATGATTTATATGCTCACAAAACATATTCAAGTCGTACTTTATCCCGATAGCTTTATTATTCAAAGAAGTATATGCGTTTAAGAGATTTTCGTAAATGACATACCAGCAATGTAAAAAGGTGCAGCTAGCTGCCGGTCCACACTAGGAAACTTTTTTTGGGAAACTTTTGATTTTGCGTGAGAGAGAAAGAGAAAGAATATCATTCATCTCTCTCGCGGTACGGAGTTTCTAGTACTCGGAAACAGTGTACACTGTTCGGAAACTTGTTTTGTTTTGTTAAGCTGGAGGTCCACACCACGCGTTCTACGCTTCTTCGCATTCTACGCGGCTGTCAAAAAAGTTGAATCAATGTTGTTGTGTGCTAGAAATTACAAGCACAAAAGCGTAGGATGCCTTGACGCGTAGAATGCTTAAAGTAGATCTACTTTCTACTTTTGTAAGCGTCATAAGCGGCGCACGAATATGTCAGCTGATTTTGACAATTTATATTCTATCTTGAATGTGTATTTATCAATTTTAATAACTAAAACGAGTTAAATTGTGAAAATATAAACAAAAAACTTTTAAAAAACGCGAAGTTCTTTGTAAATAAAGCAAAAATTTTACGCTTAAGAAGCGTAGCATGTAACTTGATGCGTAGGATGCAAAGAATGTATGAAAAGCACGAAATGCTTTGCCGCGAAGACGCGTAGTGTGGACCTCCAGCTTTATTCTTCTCATTCGTACAACAACAAATCAATGCAATTAATACGTAGTTTCTTAAACAAAAGTTTCTATGTGTGGACATTAAGGGAACTTCAAAAGAGAATTAAGAAAAAGTTTCTCAACTAAAGTTTGCTAGTGTGGACCAGGTCTAGGTTGACGTCAACGAATCTGGTTTGAAGTAAAATCAGCGACTCGAATTAGGCGCGTAAAATCACGAAAATATCTGAGGCGAAGCATATACATCGAACGTTGAGCAATGTTTTACAACGGCCAAATTTCAATGAGCGGCTTATTAATAGATAAAAGAAAACTTGCTTAAATGAAACAAATTAATTTTATATTGTAAAATTCCATAAATTTATCGAAAGTGTTCTGTAAATTATACAAAATATTACGAAATTTTTAAATCGTATTAAGCTGAAAAATTTTCGTCGGAGGCGCTTTTAACATTTTCTTCGGCGGCTAGGCTTAAAAACGAATCGACGCAGATCTCCGGTGAAATGTGTGTTTCAAAGTGCAGAACAGCTGTTGTATTTTGGAAGTGTTTTGTATAACAAATTATTTTCATATTTTAAACAATAGAGGACGCTAGTGTTTGATAAACTGTTATATTGAAATAAGTTACAAAATTTATTTTAGAGGTTAAGTTGTATTCTGATATTTGTAACGTATATAAATATTGGTCTTACACCCATTTTAAAGTATACCAATCGCCTCAGAATCCATTTTCTTAAATCATATCCATCATGGAAGGTACGTATTTCTTGGCCCAATGAAATATTATTTAATATTTTCCGGGATTTTTTCTTGCATTTTATTTTCTACCACAACTTTTTTTGTTGCATACACATTTACTTGTAACAATATCCTTGCGGGCAGACAACAGGAGACATGTACTACTAACTAGTGTATGTGCGTTTCAACATAAAAATTACTTATTTGATGTCATTATAATGTTGATACCACATACTTAACAAATAAAAAAACATTACAAAAATCTCATACAATCTTCTTTGTATGCAAATTTAAAACAACACCAAAACATACCAGAAGAAATTGCTTTGGTCATCACAATTTAATTTTTTGTTGTAGGTACTTTTATCCCTGAATATTTCACCATTTTTTTGTAGTTAAATATGTATGACGACTGACTGCCAGAGGAACACAAAAAATGCATTTACCACATGTCAAGTGCAAGTCATAATACTAATGGCCAACTATTTTTGGTGACTTTTTGAATGAATGATTTTTCTACTACATGTTGGTATACCACGACCAAAAAATGTTGACAGTTAATTAAGTTGAAGGTGCTTTTTTTTAAATTTGTAACAGAAATAACTTTCTTTGAAGGGTACAAAGGATATGAGAAGAACCCTTACGGAATTTCAAATTGGTATAGATTTTTTGTTGCTGCCTATCTCGATTTAACTACTAACTAACTAACTAACTAACTAACTAACTAACTAACTAACTAACTAACTACTAACTAACTAACTAACTAACTAACTAACTAACTAACTAACTAACTAACTAACTAACTAACTAACTAACTAACTAACTACTAACTAACTAACTACTAACTAACTACTAACTAACTAACTAACTAACTAACTAACTAACTAACTAACTAACTAACTAACTAACTAACTAACTAACTAACTAACTAACTAACTAACTAACTAACTAACTAACTACTAACTAACTAAC